TTCTCCAAACGTACCTTTGCTCATTCCGGCCAAAAGTTCAATTTTAACCTCATCGGTCCACAGAACTTGTTTCCAAAATGCATCAGGCTTGTCTATATGTTCATTTGCAAAGTTCAAACGATGATTTTTGTGGTGAGGACGTAGAAGAGGTTTTCTTCTGATGACTCTTCCATGAAGACCATATTTGTACAAGTATCTCTTTATAGTGGAATAGTGTACCACAACTCCAGTGTCTGCCAGATCTTTCTGGAGGGATCGTGCAGTCAAACGTGGGTTTTGAATTGTTTTTCTCACAATCCTGCGAGCTGTTCTGTCTGATATTTTTCTTGATCTTCCAGATGTTGCTTTAACTTCCACTGTTCCTGATGACTGCCATTTCTTAATTACATTCCGAACAGAGGATATTGACATCTGAAAACGCTTTGCTATCTTCTTATAGCCTTCTCCAGCTTTGTGAGCGTCAACTATTCTCAGTTTTCAGTTTTCTAGACAACTGCTTAGAAGAACCCATGGTGCTGATTGCTGGGGCAAGGTCAGATGAGTCTGGGCATTTAAAACCTTTGAGATTGACATCACCTGGTCTTCCCAGACGCTGATTGAGAACAATCCATGACACTGGCAGGTCTCAGCTTTGCAAAGGGGGCAGTGCATGCTATAAATTCTGCAGGGTGCCCAAACTTTTGCAGATGCCATTTTTTGTTTTCTGTTATTTTGAAAGTGTAAATGATGGAAATAAAATCTAACTTTTGTTGACATATTATAAGAATGTCTAATCTGTAATTTGATGCCTTTTGGAGATTTTTCCATCTTTCCTTGGCTTCTTTATGCACATTAATACAAATTTTTAGCTGGGGTGCCAAACTTTCGATCCCCACTGTAAATGCACTACAACACACTGAAAATGCATATGCAATAACACACATTTGCATGCTTTTTTTGCGTGTTGCATTACTAATAAATGTTCATCCATTGATGGGTGTTTTGCAGTCATCATTTCCAACCCCCTGAAAGACAAAAAAATTAAAAAATAACCTTTTTTCCCTCTTGTGTTACACTGGAATGTGTTAACATGGTTGTAAAGGCAGAGGATTTTTTTAACTTCTAGCATTAAGGTAAAAAACCTTCTCTGTGCTGCTCCGTCCACAGCCCCTCCAAATACACACCTGAGCCCCATCTCGATCCAGCGATGTGCACGAGAGCCTCGGCTGTCCCGTGACTCCCTCTCCTCTTTGGCTGTGAGCCAGTGCGTCAATGAGCTGAGAGTGGGGCCACGGCTCTATGTGTCTTATGGATGCACTTGAGAGTGAGCATGCACCAGTGTCCCCATAACAAGCGACTTGCTATTAGGGGGCACTGGTCAAGGGGGAGGAGCAAGGAGCACCAGCAGGGGACCTGAGAAGAAGAGGATCAGGGCTGCACTGTGCAAAACCACTACACAGAGCAGGTAAGTATGACATGTTTGTTATTCTTTTTTTATTAATTCCAAACTTTTAATATCACTTTAATGTTTGTTGGATAGCATTAAAATGCAGACATGTTGCATAACGCAATGCAAAGCACATGCAACATGTACACAACACTGTGGTGTGAAGGAGGCACATAGAAAACATTGTTTTAAATATGTGCTCTTGCAGTGACCAATCATTGCAAAAAAACGAAGTCATTGGACATAGTGTGAATAAGTCCCTCGTATAGAGTAAGGATGATTGTGCCACACTGTTTTGTATCAGACTATATTTGAACAAAATCAATTCTTAAATATCAAAGTGTCATGTGGGCAATATTTTAATTGCCATAAATATTTATAAATAAACATATTTCAGTGCAAAGCTGATTTCCATTCAGAAAAGTCCAGAATTTCCTTCCTGTGCAAAGCTTGCAGTTCTGTGCAGAAATTCACTGAAGTGCTTCATGTAATAGAGTGCATGATAATGCAAGGTCTGCTTATCATCTCATCAGCAAAACAGGGAAAGGTCACCCCCTTGTAGTACAGAAGCTAGGGAATAGAAAGTACATTTACATGCTCTTTTGCAGTTTAATGCAGTGTTTTAGCTAGGGGGAGGGGAGTCATACAGAGTAAGCGGAACGTGCTTGGACTGCAAGGTTTGCTTAAAGTGATACTAAACCCCAGACCCTGCATTCACTATATCCAGTCTCCCAGGACCCTGCATTCATTATATCCGCTCTCCCAGGACCCTGCGTTCACTATATCCGGTCTCCCAGGACTCTGCATTCATTATATCCGGTCCCAGGACCCGGGATTCCATCCGGACCCAGGGCATTCACTATATCCGGTCTCCCAGGACTCTGCATTCACTATATCCGGTCTCCCAGGACCCTACATTCACTATATCCGCTCTCCCAGGACCCTGCATTCACTATATCCGCTCTCCCAGGACCCTGCATTCACTATATCCGGTCTCCCAGGACCCTGCATTCACTATATCCGGTCTCCCAGGACCCTGCATTCACTATATCCGGTCTCCCAGGACCCTGCATTCACTATATCCGGTCTCCCAGGACCCTGCATTCACTATATCTGCTCTCCCAGGACCCTGCATTCACTATATCTGCTCTCCCAGGACCCTGCATTCACTATATCCGGTCTCCCACAATACACATAGTTACATAGTTAGTCTGGCTGATAAAAGACAAAAGTCCATTCAGTTCAACCATAGAAAAAAAAAATTAGAATCCTATACCCACAGTTCATCCAGAGGAAGGCAAAAGAACCCAGCAAAGCATGATCCAATTTGCTCCTGCTGGGAAAAACTTTCCTTCCCGATCCCCTGAGAGGCAATCGGATATTCCCTGGATCAACTTTACCTATAAATGTTAGTATCCAGTTATATTCTGTGTATCTAAGAAATAATCCAGGACTTTTTTGAAGCAAATCACTGAGCGGGCCAGAACCAACTCTTGAGGAAGTCTATTCCACATTTTCACAGCTCTTACTGTGAAGAAACCTTTCCGTGTTTGGAGATTATATCTCTTTTCCTCCAGACGTAAAGAGTGCCCCCTTGTCCTCTGTGATGACCTCAGGGTGAATAGCTCTATACTGAGTTCACTATATGAACCACTGATGTATTTATACATGGTGATCATATCCTCCTTATGTATTATACATGGAGATCATATCCCCCCTTATGTATTATACATGGAGATCATATCCCCCCTTATGTATTATACATGGTGATCATATCCTCCTTATGTATTATACATGGAGATCATATCCCCCTTATGCATTATACATGGAGATCATATCCCCCCTTATGTATTATACATGGTGATCATATCCCCCCTTATGTATTATACATGGTGATCATATCCCCCTTATGTATTATACATGGAGATCATATCCCCCCTTATGTAATATACATGGAGATCATATCCCCCCTTATGTATTATACATGGAGATCATATCCCTTCTTATGTATTATACATGGTGATCATATCCCCCTCCTTATGTATTATACCTGGAGATCATATCCCCCCTTATGTATTATACATGGAGATCATATCCCCCCCTTATGTATTATACATGGTGATCATATCCCCCCTTATGTATTATACATGGAGATCATATCCCCCCTTATGTATTATACATGGAGATCATATCCCCCTTATGTATTATACATGGTGATCATATCCCCCCCTTATGTATTATACATGGTGATCATATCCCCCCTTATGTATTATACATGGAGATCATATCACCCCTTATGTATTATACATGGAGATCATATCCCCCTTATGTATTATACATGGTGATCATATCCCCCCTTATGTATTATACATGGAGATCATATCCCCCCTTATGTATTATACATGGTGATCATATCCCCCCTTTATCTCCTCTTCTCAAGAGAGAATAAATTCAGTTCCTCTAATCTTTCCTCATAGCTGATCTCCTCCATGCCTCTTATCAGTTTGGTTGCCCTTCTCTGTACTTTCTCCAGTTCCCCAATGTTCTTTTTGTGAATTGGTGCCCAAAACTGAACTGCATATTCCAGATGAGGTATTACTAATGATTTGTACCGGGGTAATATGATATCTCTCTCTCTGGAGTCTATACCTCTTATAATACAAGAGAGGATTTTGCTCGCTTTAGAAAACGCAGCTTGGCATTGCATGCCATTATTAAGCTTGTGATCTACCAGAACCCCCAGATCCTTCACCACCATTGATTCCCCAAGTTGTACTTCCTCTAAAACAGAACATGGAAATGCAATTATTTTAGTAAATATAAATGGCTAAATACCTTTTCTCATCAGCAGTATAGAGCAGTCTTGTGACTTCAGCTGAGCACTGGTTAAAGCTTGTAGGAGGAGTTTTCTTTGTGCTCTTGGAGGATGAAAAGCCCCAGACCTCTGTCTGGACAGTGCTGATTGGCCCTGTGCTAATCCCAAGCACTCTCCCCAAAAAAAAAAAAAAAAAACAACCTCTCTAGCAATACACACCAAACTGAGCATGTGCAGGTGACTACAGATTCAGTCTGTATCAGGTGGTCATTTCAACAAGAGAAGGGGCAGAGAAGAAAGGATCAAACAAGCCTTTTTACACAATGCAGAGGATTAACCCTTTAGGTTCCACAGTGAGTATAACAAGCATGGTTTACTGCATATACAGACTGATTTTACTTTGTGGACTTTAAGCCACCAAAATCTGTTAATAAGAAAAAACAAAGTAGTCCGCCAAAGCAGATATGGAATGCCTACAAAACACATGAAAAGGTCTCAAGAGCTCCATCTTGTGGCTGAAAATTAGAAAACCACCTATGTATGTGATTTTTCTTATTCACAACATTTTTTGCTTTAATATTTTAGTCCTGGCCATAATAAATGAAAAACATATATAAAACCACTATACATTCCCTTCCGCAGCACCGCCTAACAGCTCAAATGATTTCTTTTTATCATGAAATACTCCCTGTAGATATCCCATTAAGCTCCACATTCACAGCAAAATATTTCATTCAATAAATCAATAACTACACAAACCTTCCACGGAGTCATCAAACAGCCGCCCCCACTTAGCATTAAACAGCGAGCCTCCTCCAGCCCAGGGGAAGCATATTAATCTGGTGATGGCATCTGGCCGTCTGTAGAGGCAGTTTACAAGCTTGTCCATCCTTTTAATAAAATTAAAAACAGAGAAAACAATATTATGCACATGGCATGGCGATGTATAACATACGTGTGCAAGGTAAACATTCTTTTCCTTTACTTGAGGAATCAGGAGCCACCAATGATTCATCTTAAAGTATACTGTATGTAAGCAGAACTACTAAAATCTAATATAAACATATATACAGTGGAGATCGAAAGTTTGGGCACCCCAGCTAAAAATTTGTCTTAATGTGCATAAAGAAGCCAAGGAAAGATGGAAAAATCTCCAAAAGGCATCAAATTACAGATTAGACATTCTTATAATATGTCAACAAAAGTTAAATTTTATTTCCATCATTTACACTTTCAAAATAACAGAAAATGAAAAAAAGGCGTCTGCAAAAGTTTGGGCACCCTTCAGAGTTAATATCTTGTACTGCCCCCTTTGGCAAGTATCACAGCTTGTAAACGCTTTTTGTAGCCAGCCAAGAGTCTTTCAATTCTTGTTTGTGGTATCTTTGCCTATTCTTCCTTACAAAAGTCTTCCAGTTCTTTGAGATTTCTGGGCTGTCTGTCACGCACTGCTCTTTTAAGGTCTATCCATAGATTTCCAATTATGTTGAGGTCAGGAGATTGTGAAGGCCATGGCAAAACCTTCAGTTTACGCCTCTTGATGTAATCCCCCGTGGATTTCGAGGTGTGTTTAGGATCATTATCCATTTGTAGAAGCCATCTTCTCTTTAACTTCAGCTTTTTCACAGATGGCATCAAGTTACCATCCAAAATTTGCTGAAATTTTATTGAATCCATTTTTCCTTCTACTCGTAAGATGTTCCCTGTGCCACTGGCTGCAACACAATCCCAAAGCATGATTGATCCAACCCCATGCTTAACAGTTGGACAGAGGTTCTTTTCATTAAATTCTGTGCCCCTTCTTCTCCAAACGTACCTTTGCTCATTCCGGCCAAAAAGTTCAATTTTAACCTCATCGGTCCACAGAACTTGTTTACAAAATGCATCAGGCTTGTCTATATGTTCATTTGCAAAGTTCAAACGATGATTTTTGTGGTGAGGACGTAGAAGAGGTTTTCTTCTGATGACTCTTCCATGAAGACCATATTTGTACAAGTATCTCTTTATAGTGGAATAGTGTACCACAACTCCAGTGTCTGCCAGATCTTTCTGGAGGGATCGTGCAGTCAAACGTGGGTTTTGAATTGTTTTTCTCACAATCCTGCGAGCTGTTCTGTCTGATATTTTTCTTGGTCTTCCAGATCTTGCTTTAACTTCCCCTGTTCCTGATGACTGCCATTTCTTAATTACATTCCGAACAGAGGATATTGACATCTGAAAACGCTTTGCTATATTCTTATAGCCTTCTCCAGCTTTGTGAGCGTCAACTATTTTTAGTTTCAGTTTTCTAGACAACTGCTTAGAAGAACCCATGGTGCTGATTGTTGGGGCAAGGTCAGATGAGTCTGGGCATTTAAAACCTTTGAGATTGACATCACCTGGTCTTCCCAGATGATGATTGAGAACAATCCATGACACTGGCAGGTCTCAGCTTTGCAAAGGGGGCAGTGCATGCTATAAATTCTGCAGGGTGCCCAAACTTTTGAAGACGCCATTTTTTAGTTTTCTGTTTATTTTGAAAGTGTAAATGATGGAAATAAAATCTAACTTTTGTTGACATATTATAAGAATGTCTAATCTGTAATTTGATGCCTTTTGGTGATTTTTCCATCTTTCCTTGGCTTCTTTATGCACATTAATACAATTTTTTAGCTGGGGTGCCCAAACTTTCGATCCCCACTGTAATATTGTCATTTTAAATGTTATTGTCAATCTTTTGAAATCTGCAGATTTCATTGAAATAATACCTGGTGATCCTGTCATGAAGGTCCTTGTTTAGGCACATCCTGTGATAGGGTGACAACCATCTGTCCCTGTCTATCAATTGTGATCCAGTGAGCCACTGTGACATGGGTTTCTGATGGAGCTTATTTCTACAAACATTACAAGGCATCGGATTGTATTTACTAAAATAATTACATTTCCATGTTCTGTGTACTGTGGGAGACCAGTTATAGTGAATGCAGGGTCCTGGGTTTAGTAACAATTTTAATTATTACTAAACCCAGGACTCTGCATTCACTATATCTGGTCTCCCACAGTACACACAACATGGAAATTCAATTATTTTAGCAAATATAAAATGCAAAATTCCTTTTTTTTATCAGAAGTATATAGCAGTCTTGTGACTTCTATCAGTGTCCAGCTGAGCACTGGTTAATCTTGTAGGAGGAGTTTTCATCCCCCACTGATTGTCCTATGAGGCTGCATAGCCCCTGACCCTCTGTCCGGACAGTGTTGATTGGCCCTATGCTAATCACATGCACACTCTCTAGCAATACACACCAAATTGAGCATTTGCAGCTTGCCCCCAAGACTCTGTTCCATCAGCAGACGGACAGGGGACAGTAGAAAAAGGGGAGGATCAGAGAAGTCAGGATCAAAACAGCCTTTTTACACAATGCAGAGGATTAACCCCAGTGCTGATTGGCCCTGTACTAATCCCAAGCACTCTCCCAAAAAAAAAAAAACCTCTCTAGCAATACACACCAAACTGAGCATGTGCAGGTGACTACAGATTCAGTCTGTATCAGGTGGTCATTTCAACAAGAGAAGGGGAAGAGAAGTCAGGATCAAACAGCCTTTTTACACAATGCAGAGGATTAACCCCTTAGGTCCCACAGTGAGTATAACAAGCATGTTTTGCTGCATATACAGACTGATATTACTGTTGTGGGTTTAGTAACACTTTAAGGTTGAACTAAAGGCAACATTGGTCATAGTAAAGGCCTGATCATGCTAGAACATGGAGCGGGAAACCCAAGTTCCATGCGCATTCCCTGAATCGTTTTCAAAACGCAGTAGGTGTGTGATCTGCTGCACATGTCAATGTATTCCTATTGACACCCCAAATGCAGACCCATTTTGCCTGCCCTGGATCGCGTTGCACCGCCATACAATGTAATCTGGTGACAGTGCATTTTTACAAGCAGTACATGCACATTTTGGTGCGATCCGGTGCAACTTCAGTGCATTCAAATGAATGGGCAGAAAATTGCACCGCAATGAATCACAGGTGTGAACTGGTGTAAAGGGAAGGTTACAACCCCTGTCTGCGACCCATTGGGGAGATTTCCCTTTGCTTCCTGTCCCATAGCCAAAACAGGAAGTGATAGAAAATACGTCCAGAGCTGCTGGCAGGGTCACCAGAGCTAGTGTCCACACGGGAAGCATCCCCCTCAGTTCCTGTTTTGGTGACAACCCAAAATTTGGGATTTTCTTTCACTTTCTCTCTCGGTGATAACAGGACAAATAGAGAGGGTGAATCTAGTGGAGCCACAGACAGCAATGAAAAGCTGACAGGAGTTCTAATCTCTTGTTATCCTGTAGCTATACTTGACCTCCTAATTATCAGACAATTATGGTGACATCCCAACCTTGGAGCAGCATGTAAAGTCCTCAGTCCCGGTGTCAGACGGAGCACGCGTACCCACAGACTGATGGGAGGGCAGACAGAAGACGGAGGTGGAATTTGCCCTTACTTGGAAGAATGAGTAAACATTTTATCTGTTGACATTTCATGAGCAATATTATCTCAGTGCTCTGTGTGCAAAACATACACGACGTGTCCCAGCACAGGCTTCCTCACAAAGTCTTCCTCCCACTGACACCAATGATGGGGCACTATTCCTCCCACTAATACCAATGATGGGGCACTATTCCTCCCACTGACACCAATGATGGGGCACTATTCCTCCCACTGACACCAATGATGGGGCACTATTCCTCCCACTGACACCAATGATGGGGCACTATTCCTCCCACTGACACCAATGATGGGGCACTATTCCTCCCACTGATACCAATGATGGGACACTATTCCTCCCACTGACACCAATGATGGGGCACTATTCCTCCCACTGACACCAATGATGGGGCACTATTCCTCCCACTGACACCAATGATGGGGCACTATTCCTCCCACTGACACCAATGATGGGGCACTATTCCTCCCACTGACACCAATGATGGGGCACTATTCCTCCCACTGACACCAATGATGGGGCACTATTCCTCCCACTGACACCAATGATGGGGCACTATTCCTCCCACTGACACCAATGATGGGGCACTATTCCTCCCACTGATAGTAATCTGGCCCTTTGTTTAGAAAGTTTGGAGACTCCTGCTCTACACTGAAGCTGGTGCTGGGAGCCAATCATAAGACCGGACCAGAGCACCTTGAGAATAGGTAAGAATAGAGATCTTTCCTTTACAGGATACATAAGATAGGCCTTAGAATGGGGGTGGGAGAAGGTTTAACTGCCTCCCGCCCACCATATAAGGAAATGTCGGGCGCAAGGCGGTTCTCTCGTTCTGGGAGGATGTCATATGACGTCCTCCCACTCTAACCCCGCATGCGAAGCTACGGGGGGGGCGCAGCGCGACGATAGGTGGTGCACTGTATCGCTCGGACACAGCGGATCACCGATCAACGGAAAGAGCCAAAGATGTCGGCTCGGTCATGTGATCAGTGGTGCCCAATCACAGCTAATCGCATGTAAATAGGGAAATGCCGGTTATCGTCATTTCTCTCCTCACAACCTGTCACGCTGACAGCTCGAGAGGAGAGGAGAGCCGGTAATCGGCTTTCCGCAGAGGGGACATGTACACTGATCAGTGTGCCCTGATGATCTGTGTAGCCCCAGCAGTGCCACCTGTCAGTGCCCATTAATGCCAGCTGACAGTGCTCATCAATGCCACATATCAGTGCCTACCAGTGTACATCAACGCCACATATCAGTACCTATCTGAGCTGCCTTTCAGTGCCATCTGTCAATGCCAGTCAGTGCCACCTATCAGTGCTGCCAATCAGTGCCACCTATCAGTGCTGCCAATCAGTGCCACCCATCAGTGCTAGTCAGTGCCACCTATCAGTGCCCGTCAGTGCTGCCTATCAGTGCCGCCTAACAGTGCCAGTCAGTGCCGCCTAACAGTGCCATATATGAGTGCTGCCTTTCAGTGCCCATCAATGATGCCTGTCAATGCCCATCAGTGCCACCTACCAGTGCCTCCTCATCAGTGCCCATCAGTGCCACCTATCAGTGCCCATCAGTGCGGCCTATCAGTGCCCATTACTGCAGCCTCATTAGCACACATCAGTGAAGGAGAAAAATCACTTATTTACAAAATTTTATAACAAAAACTAAGAAAAAACTTTTTTTTTCTAACATTTTCAGTTGTTTTTGGTTTGTTTAGCAAATAATAAAAAAAACCCAGAGGTGATTAAATACCGCCAGAAGAAAGCTCTATCTGTCTCAAAAAATGATAAACATGTCATATGGGTACAGTGTTGCATGACAGCGCAATTGTCATTCAAAGTGTGAGAGCGCTGAAAGCTGAAAAGTGGCGTGGGCAGGACGGGGGTATAAGTGCCCTGTAGGTAAGTGGTTAAGCTGAGATAGGTTTCATCCAGTGTCTAAAAAAACTTTAAAAAAAAATATTACAAATTATATAAATAAATATAACAAGTAAAAATTAAGTAATATAAATAAAAGTCTGGCCTAGACTGCTACAGTTGTGTCCAAAATTATTCAACCCCCACTGAAATTGAGTGTTTTGGCCAGTTTGACATTGCTTTTGATCATTCAGTCATCTTGCTTACATTTACATTAAAGAGGCACTTGTAGGTCAGACAAATATAACATAACAGTTATAATGAAATAACCACAAATGTCTTTTCTGTGCTCACAGCATTATCAGTTTTATTCAACCCCCAAGTGACATTCAATCTTAGTACTTAGTACAGCATCCTTTTACAGTTATAACAGCTTTTAAACGTGAAGCATAGCTTGACACAAGTGTCTTGCAGCGATCTACGGGTATCTTCGCCCATTCTTCATGGGCAAAGGCCTCCAGTTCAGTCACATTCTTAGGCTTGCGCACTGCAACTGCTTTCTTTAAGTCCCACCAGAGGTTCTCAATCGGATTTAAGTCTGGTGACTGCGATGGCCACTCCAAAATGTTCCAGCCTTTCCTCTGCAACCATGCTCTAGTGGACTTGGAGGTATGCTTGGGATCATTGTCCTGTTGAAAGGTCCAACGTCTCCCAAGCCTCAGGTGTGTGACGGACTGCATCACGTTTCCATCCAATATCTCCTGGTACTGAAGAGAATTCATGGTACCTTGCACACGCTGAAGCTTCCCTGTACCTGCAGAAGCAAAACAGCCCCAAAGCATGATTGACCCTCCACCATGCTTCACAGTAGGCAAGGTGTTCTTTTCATCATAGGCCTTGTTCTTCCTCCTCCAAACATAGCGTTGATCCATGGGCCCAAACAGTTCTAATTTTGTTTCATCAGTCCACAGAACACTATCCCACAACTTTTGTGGTTTGTCCACATGGCTTTTGGCATACTGCAGTCGACTCTTCTTATTCTTTGGAGACAGCAAGGGGGTACGCCTGGGAGTTCTGGCACGGAGGCCTTCATTACGCAGTGTGCGTCTTATTGTCTGGGCTGAAACTTCTGTACCCACATCTGACAAATCTTTTCTCAGTTCCTCAGCAGTCACACGGGGACTTCTCTCCACTCTACGCTTCAGGTAGCGCACAGCAGTCGAAGTCAGCATCTTCTTTCTGCCACGACCAGGTAGCGTTTCAACAGTGCCCTTTGCCTTGAATTTGCGAATGATGCTTCCTAAGGTGTCTCTTGGTATGTTTAACATCTTTGCAATCTTCTTATAGCCATTGCCCTTCCTGTGAAGAGAAATCACCTCTTCTCTTGTCTTCCTGGACCATTCTCTTGCCTTCACCATGTTTGTAACCACACCAGTAAATGTCTAGAAGGAGCTGAGTATCACAGTCATTTTAAAGCTGCCTAATTGGTGCTTATTATGCTTGATTGCTGCTCGGTGACATCCACAGGTGTTTTCAATACCTGATGGAAAGCACCTGTATGAACCTCTGTTCTTCAGAGTGGTAGTCTTTAAGGGGTTGAATAATTGTGGCAATGAAGAAACCACATAAGAACCATTTACTACTGTATTACATAAACAATTGATGTCATTTTAGTTGCATTTGGGTAGTTACAACGTCCTTGTAGGATTTGATTCTGAATACAATTCCAAATGTACACTATAGTCCCTAAACCCCTTTACAGCATTGGGGGTTGAATAATTTTGGACACAACTGTAATTTAATGCAGAAGAGACATAGCACATCTCTCCTGCATTAGAATGCCGTGTGTTCTGTGCTGAGTAGGGCGCCATGTTTTGGGTGTTCACTGCAATTACAATCTTATCAATAAAGAACAGGAAGTATCTCATGTTTGCCCTACCGACCCAAAGATTTTCACCCCCCCCCCCCCCCGCCTACCTGCAGTGGTGTTCTGCTCAGAAAGTATACTCACCCACCCAGTGGATCCAGCGTTGTCTCAATGAGATCCCCTTCTCTGTAGCCGGGACTGGAGTCCCACGCCGCCATCTTTTTCCGGGATGTCATCGGGAGGCACAGGCACTCCTACTGATGATACACCACTAGGCCCACCCCCTCCTACTTTAGTGAATGGATGCTCCTGGTGCCTCTCGGGATATCCATATCATATATCCCAAGAGGCACTAGGCAAATGACAGAAGAGGGGTCATGAAGGAATACCTTTTTTCCAAAAAGGTAAACAAGCAAAACAAGGAAAAAAACAGAGGAAAGGAGGAAAGTTTTCAGAAAGTGTAAAGCTCTGCTTTAAGAATAAAGATTTCCCATAAACCACTGCAGCCTTTTTAGCTTCTAGAACAGGGGTCTCCAGACTTTCTAAACAAAGGGCCAGTTTACTGGCTTTCAAACTTTAGGGGGGCCGGACTGTGGTCATTGGGAGTAGAAATAGTCCTGCATCTTTGGGAGTAAACAATGCATCTTTGGCATTAGGGGGAGGAATAGTGCCCTATCCTTGGTGTAAGTTGCAGAAATAGTGTCCCATCGTTGGTGTCAGTGGGAAAAATAGTGCCCCATTGTTAGCGTCAGTGGGAGGAATAGTGCCTCATAATTTGTTTCAGTGAGAGGAATAGTGTCAAATTGTTGGTATACATGAAAGGAATAATGCCCCATCGTAGGTGTCAATGGGAGGAATAGTGCCTGTTGTTGATGTCAGTAGCAGGAATTATGCCCTCTTGTTGGTGTCAGTGAGAGGAATAGTGTCTTGTATCAGTGGAAAGAAAAAGTGCCCCAAGGGCCGGGTAAGGGCAAGCAAACGGCCACATCCGGCCCTCGTGCCGCAGTTTGGAGACCACTGTTCTAGAAGAACACCAGTAAAGGTCTCCTCCGTTCTCCCTTTGATACAGGTATGCCTGTAAGTTCTTTCATTGTGTTTTTTAAAGTCACATACATAGCTAGATCGCATGTCAATGTATTAAATGTGATTTGTAGGTAGTGGTTTGTAAGAAATGTGTTCCTTTTAAGCATTTGTGAGAGACATATAAACAAGCATATTGTAACTTCAGTTTATGTGATTGTATTGCAGTATTACAGAACTATTCACAGAAGTACATTCAGTTTTGAAATGAAACACAACACTGCTTCTGTCAGTTTTGTTAGCTAGCTGTCAGCTAAATATTATTAGGAGAGCATACTGTGTGTTTACCCATTTTTAATTTTTCTTCTATTATGTTCAACTTTAATTCATCTCAATGGCTGACTATATGTAGCGGGTCCTGATAAATTAGTGGGCACTGCATGCTGTACAACTGTGTGCATGAGGGCTACCGCAGATTTTTTTTTTTTAAGGGTTGCTTACGTTTGCGAGTGGGAAGCAGTAAAACCATGTAGTTTAGCCACATTTTTACCGACTCTAAACAGCTCCACTTTCGCTGGAAAGGCAGCAGCCAGGGTGTGTAAATATGGCGGAGAAGCAGGAATTGTACCCTCTCTTGCATTCAGCGGGCCCTACTGCCTGCAAGTTAAAAGAGCAATGCTGTAGCTGCATGTATGGAATGTACGGAGTTATGGTGCAGTAGTCCGTCAATAAAGGGTTTCAACAAATGGCGATACAACACCTCCTCACCACCTGTCAAATCCTCTGAAGAGCACTACGAGTATGGGCTGCTCTTCAGAGTGTAAATGAGGGCTTACTGATCTGATGGCGGCTCTAGTTTACTGACATTTATACGGCTGTGTGCACAGGCCTATAGAAAACAATGGACTGCATTTAGATCAATGAAAAAAAAGTTGTCTGAACATCTTAAAACATTGCATTGTTGGCGCCCACATGTGCAAGAGACCCTAGAGCTACTTTAATGGTCACAGTATACAGAATTCTGCATAATAACTGATCACCAGACATGCTATGATGACATACTGCCCAGATATGTAAGTGGTATTAAACCCATTACCAGAAATGTAATATATTGCGGCTTGCCAATCATTAGATGTGGCGTCTGCATTAGTCTTCTTTTTTAGGCTTTTTTCCCCTCTGTTTTCACCTGTTGATCTGGCCAGTAACACACCTCCTGTATTAGAGCGCCCCCACTCTGGATGAAGCTTTGTCAGTCTGGGGGGAAAGAAGTGTTAGATGAACTAGCAGATTTAAAGCGGAGCTCCACCCAAAAGGGGAAGTTCTGCTTTAAGGACTGCTCCCCATTAAGTATTGGCACCTTTGGGGAGCGGGGGGGGGGGGGAATGGGTACCCGAATTTGACAGTTACCAGCTCCCACTTCCGGTCCGATCGCCTAGGCAATCAGAAGCGGGAGGTGTCCATCCTCCCTGTAGTCTTTTGGGACACGTGACAGGTCCGAGAAGACTACAGGACCATTCATGAAGCGCAGCTCTACTTGCGCATGCGCAGTGGGTACCTGGCTGTGAAGCTATCACAGCCGGGTACCCACACTGAAGATGCCGGTCTCCAGGAATACAGGACGGCTGCTGAAACGTGCTTCAGGGGACACACCGCGGGACCGAAGGACAGGTAAGTGGCTGTTTTTTAAAAGTCAGCAGCTACAGTTTTTGCAGCTGCTGACTTTTATTTTTTGACAGCGCGAGTGGAAATCCGC